AACGAAGTTTTAGTGAAATGAAGATCTATTCCTTCCCCCAGGTTCCCCTCTCAGCAGGGAGCTCCCAGCTACTCTTGCTTAGGCCAGAATCACAGGAGCTGTCTGGGGTGTCTGGGGCGCAGCTTCCATTGTGTGTCAACCCACCCACTGCTTCTGCTGCCTGAAAGCCTCAGTGTGCTCCATCCTCCGCCTTCCACTGTGTGGCTTTCACTCAGACTTCTCCGTATCTCACCTGTGTCACTGCCAAAGTCAGCCAGCAGATGGCCTGGACTCTTGTCTCACTCCTCCATCCTCACTGCTGCCAGGGTAACTGGTCTTTAATACAAGTTTTACCCTTCTCAAAACTAACTCCATGGGCTCCCTTCCTCATAGGATGAATTCCAGACTCCTTAGCAGGGTGCACAGGTCTGGCTGCTGCTGACCTGACAGACTTTCTCATGCTTCTTCCTAAATCAGCCTTTGTTTCCCACCATGTCCCTAGTTGCCAGGCCAGCACACATGAAGTTGTTTGTTGTCTGTCCTGGTTGTGTCCATGCTGGCCCTTTACCCATGCTTGCTTCCCCCCTCTTCCCACACTACTACGTATAACTGAACTAGGCCTCATTTCGTCTTTGACTCTTTCAACTTGTGTCCCCAGACTGGACTCAGTGTCATACTCTAAACATAACTTTTTGTCATCACTATACCATACTATGCTATAGTGATTATTTCTTTTAAGCTGAACCGTGAGCTGGGAGGCAAAGATCCCACTGTGTCCCTAACATAGGTAGAGCAGCCGATGATAAATACTTGTTGAATGAATGAAAGAATGACTTCCTTACATGGCTATAAAATCCTTGAGAGCAGGATTGGCCATCAGTTCCTAAGGTATGGTAGTTTTTACAGTTGAATGGAATTAAGTGCATAGTAGGGATTTGTAACCAAATCAGGCAACTAACAGAATCTCCAGATGAGTTGTACCTGAAGGAGATCAAAAGGATGAGAATGTTACTTAGACAGAGGTATTCAGAAGTGAGAAGGCACTTCAGGCAAAAATAGGTGATAAGGAAAGTCTGGTATGTTCTCAGAATCATCAGTCATTTGGCTGGCACTTAGGGACCATGGGGGACAGTGGCTATAGAAGGCTAGATTATCCACTCATGCTTATTGGTCAATTCAGTGAGTATTCACTAATAGCAGTGATGTACAGAGCCTTAAAGGCAGAAAATGAACTGGATAACCCTTGTTTTGAGGAGTCTATAAATTGATCTAAAAGATATTTTATCTTAGAGGTAGGAGACTTTGAGGGGGTTATGTATGACATATTAGACTGGTCAAGGTAATAAAATTATTTAAAAAAATAAGAGATAGTAAAACCTGTGCTTCTTCAAATTATATTCAGCAGTGCAGTTACCATACAAAAGTTTTTCATTGCCTCCTCTCAAATCCTATTCTTACCATGGACTACTGCTGTCAGCCTGCAAACAGCATTGGTCTGCACCATGCACTTTAAGTAGCACTGTTCAGAGTGATCAAATCTGCAGCCAAGATTTGAAGAGTCTTGATTGAAAGAGGACTGAATAGAAGGAGCAAGACTGATGGGGAGGCTGTCTGATCTAGGCAAGTGATGTTCTGGCCTAGAACATGGCAGTGCAGAGATTTTGGGAATAAAGCCAAAGGCTTGGTGAAAAGAATGAAAGATGTATCTCAGATCCCTGGCTTGAGAAACTGGATTAGGTGACAGTATGTGTATTGAGGTCTAGACCGAGGAGATGTGAGTCTAAGGGAAGATGATGAGTTAGTACTGAGCAGGTTCAGCTTGAGGTATATGTAGGAGGTCCAGCAGGAGGGTCCAAGAGGCAGCTGGAAAGTGCTAATTATTATCTTCAAAGAGAAATTTCACCAGTTCAATCTAGCATGACTCCTTTTTTGGGTCTTTACCTGACAGAACCAACTTATAGTTATGTTCTTTGTCTCAAGGAAGGCTTAAGGGATGGGGATTGGGTTAGGACAGGAAGGGGTTTTGGCAGGCTGCTTATGTTGAAATAGGATTCAACCCAGGTTTTTGTTGAGATGCTCTGAGGGAGCGACAAGTCTCACTGTGGCCACTGGGTGGCAGTGGTGCTTCAGTTTAGAGTTACTTGGAGTAGCCTGGTGCATTTAGCCATCTGCCTGACTCCAAAGTTGACCTTTGGACTCCACAGAAGTGCTTACAAGTGGGCCCCTCACCTTTACCATGGGGGCAATAGCTGTGGCCTGTTACCAGCCTTTGGAGCTGAAGACAAGGTAAAGCTGCTCTGGGACTGAATCAGACAGTCGATAAGTCCTGGACATAGGTTCTTTCCTTACTCCAGGCTACCTTTCATAGGAACACAGGCTAAGGCTTTGCCTTTGTCCAACCCAGAGATTAACTACAAATAGGCAGGAGGGGCTATGGTCACAGAGCTGGAGCCCCCAGGCATGACATGACATGGGCGTGTCCTTTCTGTGTCCTCTGTGTCAGTAGACTGTACAGGTGCCTGTGTATTCAGAGCAGGAGTACCAGCTCTATCTCCACGATGATGCTTGGACTAAAGCAGAAACTGACCACCTCTTTGACCTCAGCCGCCGCTTTGACCTGCGATTTGTAGTTATCCATGACCGGTATGACCACCAGCAGTTCAAGGTAAGCTGTGTGCACCTGTGTGTATGCCCAGCCCCTGAGCCTGGTAGGCCCTACCTTCATGGCATCCCATGCATGTGCACCTGACTGTTTATCTCCGGTCTGTTCGATCCTCAGAAGCGTTCTGTGGAAGATCTGAAGGAGCGGTACTATCACATCTGTGCCAAGCTTGCAAATGTGCGGGCTGTGCCAGGTACAGACCTCAAGATACCAGTATTTGATGCTGGGCATGAGCGGCGGCGGAAGGAACAGCTTGAGCGTCTCTATAACCGGACCCCAGAGCAGGTGAGCCCTGGGCTCCTCATACCTTTCACCCAATCCCCAAAGCCATGCTTACTGCCCCCGTCCCCCATGTGCTCAACTCTCTCGCCCCAGCCTGTTGCTCTCATTGCTCTTCTGTAGCCTTTTCCGCCTCTTCCACCTCACATCCCTTTACAGATAGCCCAGCACCCTGTGCACCCTTGCTGCATATTACCCTCCCATGCTCTCAGCATCTCTCACCTTCCCAGGTGGCAGAGGAGGAATACCTGCTGCAGGAACTGCGCAAGATTGAGGCCCGGAAGAAGGAACGTGAAAAACGCAGCCAGGACCTGCAGAAGCTGATTACTGCAGCAGACACCACCGCAGAGCAGCGGCGCACAGAGCGCAAGGCCCCCAAGAAGAAGCTACCCCAGAAAAAGGAGGCTGAGAAGCCGGTATGGAGGGGAGCCAGCCCAGCTCTGCTTGGAGGATGGCACAGGGCACCATCACATACATGCTGGGGCTGATCTTGGCCCCACTCCCTGTGACACCTGGGTCTCCTTAACTCCTCCCTCAGGCTGTTCCCGAAACTGCAGGCATCAAGTTTCCAGACTTCAAGTCTGCAGGAGTCACGCTACGGAGCCAGCGGGTACGTGAGTTTCCTTTTATCTGTTTGAGCCCAGGGCTCCAGGCAGCCTGAGTACTACAGCTGTTGGACCTGGAGCAACAGGAGAGGTGGTTGTAAATAGAAGTGGCCTTTCCAGGATCATAGGACATGGCCAGGCTGCAGTCAACTTTCACTATATTCCATTTCCTGGTCCTCAGCAACCTCTAGCCCCGGTGCCAACTCCAGCCCCCTACCCCCCAACCCCCCACTGCCTTTAGCCCCCTTCATCCTCAGTCTCTCTGGGGAGAAGGCATTAGCTAGCTGTCTGGGTCACTGCAGATGAAGCTGCCCAGTTCTGTGGGTCAGAAGAAGATCAAGGCTCTGGAACAGATGCTGCTGGAGCTTGGTGTGGGTGAGTATGGGCTGGGCCTCAGGACACCCCCAGGCAGGCGAGGTGGAGGCTGGCTGGGCTGGGCACTTCACATTGTAGGCCTCATGTATAGCTGCATTCTGCACTGCCTTCAGAGCTGAGCCCGACGCCTACTGAAGAACTGGTACACATGTTCAACGAGCTGCGTAGTGACCTCGTGTTGCTCTATGAGCTCAAGCAGGCCTGTGCCAACTGCGAGTATGAGCTCCAGATGCTACGGCACCGGCATGAAGCACTGGCCCGGACAGGTGTTCTTGGGGGTCCTGCCACACCAGCAGCGGGCCCAGTCCCAGCTTCTACTGAGCCAGCAGTGTCTGAACCTGGGCTTGGCCCTGACCCTACCAAGGACACCCTTATCGACGTTGTGGGTGCACCTCTCACACCCAATTCGGTAAGAGTCCCAACAGCTGGGGAGTGTGCCCAGCCCTGTGAGTGGACACATGTACATGCCAGCTCTGCTCTCTCTGGTTCCTGCCGGTGAGAGGCTGAGACTGAGGGCAGGAGTGGGCTGACCAGTAGGTGTCACCTTCCTGAGAGTGCAGACACACACTAAGCCTGAGTTAGGCCTTGGGGCCACTGACTTGGGCACCTTCTGTCTCCTCAGCGGAAGCGACGGGAATCAGCCTCCAGCTCATCTTCTGTGAAGAAAGCCAAGAAGCCATGAGAGGCCAGCTTGGATGCAGGTGGTGCTGTGGTGTAAATAGAGCTGCTGACTTGGACTGGGCTGCTCACACTTCCTTTCCCACACTGCGGCCTCTGTGGGGAGGGTGGGCAGGCGGGCCCTCAGCTGCTGTCTGAGGGGGGTGGTCAGGGTTGGCCTACATTCAGGCTTTGGGCAACATCCCCCTAGTCCTGACAGCATGGCCCAATCCCCAGCCCCATTCACTGTGGTTTTAGGTTCCTGATGGCCTTGCACACAGTAATGCCTTCTGAGGTATGCACACCTCTCCAGACCTATGTGTCTCCAAAAGTATGCCAGTCACACGCTGGTGCCCTTGTGTGCAAGAGGCAGTGTGAGTGTTCCATCTTTATGGCAGCTTGACGGAATTATCACAGCAACCTCCTTTGCACACACCCAAGGCCTCATTTCCCCAACTTTATTCAGTGGCACGTTCACAGCAGGGCTGGGGGTAGACACAAGGTGGGACCTGATCTGTCTTGGAGCCCTGGGGGCACCACACACCATGCACTATGGATGGGAAGGGGCACAGGGGGTTTGGTGGCCCCAGCAGAAGCCTGTGTACCAGGGAGGAGGCAGTTGAGTGCCTGGGTCCCCCTAGCCCAGGCCCACATGGAAGGGGCTAATACTGGGCTGAAATTGAGGGGCGGAGGACACAAAGTGTCTGCTCCCGAGGGACCAGGTGGTCCAGCCCTTGCCCTGGACACAAATCCATAGGGCAGCTGGGGGACACTAGGCGCAGGGTTGTGCCACTCTCCCTTTTCCCCTCTGGTGAGGGAGAGGATGATTCTGGGCTGGGCCAAGCAGCTACCCTGTCCTGCCCCATCCCATACTCGGCCAATCAGAATGGCTTTGATGTCTGCTTGAAGATGAAGCCTCGATATGCGAGTGTCTTCATGATGTTGGCAATGTTCTTGCAGTCATCTAAAAAGAGGGAAAGAAGACATTTAGATGAGCACTGGCCCTGGACCCTTTCCCTCGATGCCCATAAGTGCTCTTACAAGGATGGGAGTGGGAAGGAGGGTCCAATTTAGGATCCACAGGTACTAGAGAGGGGGTTCCAGGCTTTGTGGTTGCATCGCCAGCTTCAAGTTGGGCTGGGTGATGCTGGGCTGGCAAATGCTTTTCAGTCCCATAATTCATGCTGGAAATTGGCCGGCATGTCCTGTCCCGGCCCCAGTAGTGATATATGGGCGCCGTCGCAGTAAGAAAAAGGCAGAGTAAATGTGTAATTTCTCCCTTGACGGCCCCCGGCCGCTGAGCGATCCTTCTTGTTGCTGCCGCATGGGGACGGCTTGTCCGCCACACTCCGTCTTCCCGCCACCCGCCTTGATGTCTCCATTTCATTACTGTGTGGCCATTCATCACGCCCATGGCCAGGGTGACTTTGCTGGCACTTGCGTGTGTGTGGGAGATATGGCCTAGGCCATAATCACTGGTGACAAGGCACTAGGCTCAGCACCACTAGGACAGGGGTCTGGGAGACACACCTGCCCTGGGTACTGTTGCTGTGTGGCTCCAGCCCTGGCCATCAGCTCTCTACCGTCTGGCTGTGTCAGCCCTCTCCCTGCCCCTGCCCGTACCCCAGGTGAAATATGTCATTGTGACAGACCTTGTCACAAGCCTTTTCTCTAGAATGGGTTCCCCAGAAAAAAAGCTCTAAATTGTCCTAACCCTGGAAGCTGCATGAATCTCTGGGATCTCGGTTTGGGCTGGGACTTAATCATCACCACTAGCATGAGGGGCAGCTGCCTTGAGTTTGTGGCTAGAGTCACCCTAGTATAGGAACTGCTCAGGTATGTGCATTTCTTGGTTAAGTTACCCAAAGAGGCCATTGACTTGCCATCCTCTCACCTGCCTCTCCTCCCACTCCTTTCCATCTCCCTTCAATGCTCCTGGGCCATGACCAGGACCTCAGCTGCCACCAGCCCTCATGGGATCGATGCTGTGATTGCAGAAATATTGTACATCGATGTCATAATCAAGTGGGGGGGGTGGTAGGGTCAAGGTGGGGTCAGGAGGCCTCTGCATCTGTCATGGAATGAACCCCCCAGTCCCACCCTTCCCAGCCCTTCAGCTTAGGAAAACGGAACCCCTCCCGCCCAGAGCTACAAAGGGACTGTGGGTGGGGGAGGAGACTTTGGCCAAGGGTCTGTGTCACTAGTCATACGGCTCAGCAGATCCTACCTAGAGCAGCCAAGGAAGACATGGTCCTGTCACAACGCTCAACATGTATGTACCTGTGGTGGCTATACATATGCAGATGATACCTTGTTACCCCAGGGATGCCATGAAGCTCAATCTGAGGCAGAATGGTGGAAAGACAGATGGGTGGGTACTGGCGGCCATGGCAACTCCAGACGTGACCCATCCCTGTGGTTTATGGGCCGGACACGCACCCTGCTCAGCTGAGGCCCTGTCATTTGTCTCCCTTAGTGTGTATGCCTGTGCTGTGGGGGTAGAAGGTGGAGGAAGGAGGGGCTGTGACAGGAGGAACTCGGCAGTGGATGGCAAGGGGCCTGGGGGGGAGGGGAGGACTGTGATGGTACCATTGGAGGGGCTAAAAGAGTGTGATTTTCTCCCTAAATAAGCCTAGCCCTGCCAGGGCACCTCCAATTCTTCCTGTCTCCTGCACTCTGGGGACCATGGCTGCTGTGCATATTAAGAATAAGTCCCCTCGTTATCTGCAATTACCCAGCAACCACACACCTCATTTCTTCCAGCAGAAAAGAAAATTAGTTTTCTATTGACTTCATGTGGCTCCTCCCTCACTGCTGGACAAATCACTCCATCTGCCTCTCCTGACCCGAGTGTCCCAGTCCAGATCCCCAGGCCACCCACCAACCCACAGGCAAGCACTGACCCATATCTGTGTGGGCCCCCAGGCCCTGTCTGTGACTCCTAGCACTATACACTAGCTGACTTCACCCAAACACTAAGGTTCCATTGCCCTTGAAGTCACCCTTTCCAGTCTGGACCCTTCTAAGCACCACTCAAACATCTCTCAAACATCTCTAGGTGAAGACTCGAAATGTTTCCAGTAATGAACAGTCTTCTCCCCACGCTCCCTCTTACCCTTGTTCTCTGCACCAGTGAAAGGCAGGGGAGAAACCTGAGTCAGCTTGACACCTCACCCTCTCCCCCCTCACCTAATCGAGTATGAATTTCTGCAGATTTGATCTCTTTATCTCTCATCATCTACTGTCCATTCCAGCAACAGCCACTCATGAGTCCAGACCCCTTCGCCTCCTGTTGGCTTGCAAAACCCTGTTGGCTTTCTGACCCTCCTTAAAAATCTGATGGGGCCCTTCCCTCTTCCATCTCTTCAATGACTCCCTGTTCTCTAGTGTTCAAAGTCCACACTCTTCATTGTGACTTAAAACCTCTGCTAAAATTGACCCCTGCTTCCTTGGTCTTATTTCTGCCGCTCTATCCCGATTCCTGTAGTCTAGTCTCAAGGAGTAAAGTCTTAACACTTTCTGAAAAAGGACAGAATGGGCTTTGGAGTCAGAAAAACCTGTTCTGGTCTTAAACCTCACCCACTGGTTGCCTGACGTTCAACAAGTGCTTCGTTTCTCTAAGCTTCAGGTTTCTCCACTAGGGGTGACTAGCAGCCTCTGTCACTGAGACCACTGAACAGGGTGCTGCACCACACAGCTTTGCACAAGCTACTCTTTACATTGGGAATGCCTCTTCTCTCCCTGCAGAGTGGACAGGATACTAGTTCACTGGATGACCTGATCAGGAGAACAGTGTACACTGTACAGTCTATGGCCTGGGTGACAGATGGGCCAACACACTTGATGAGATCAGTTGCCATTCACTCCACAGAGTGACTGCTGATCTTGTTTACTGGGGATTCTGGAGTCTTAATTTGTTGCAATTGGTCTGCCACAATAAAGAGACCAGAGGGAGGAAGAAACTTGTTCCAGCTCACCTCAACTCAGTGGAATGGCAGTTATGGGCTGTCAGCCTAGGCCCTTTTTCCCCTTTGGAGCCTTGATAAGAGTCAATGCAAATCACTGATCAGTTAAAAAAATAAAAATCAATGGCACAATTAAAAAATAAGGACACTTGGCAGAAGCAGCACTAGAGACAGATCTGGGGCTTTTTAATAGGCCAAAAGTTGAGAGAGACAGCAGTAAGATGAGCCTAGTGACAAGACTGTTTCTTAGTCCTCTCCTTGAAGTTCTGCACCCCCTGGGTTAGCAGCTTTGCCTTCCAGAACCTCTGCAAGCTTCTGAGGCTTCCAAATTGGGGGAGGGTGGGAGAAGAACCTCAAAGAATGCCTTGAAGAATAGGTCTTCCTCAGCTTCGATCCTGGGATACCACATGTGTTCCTACAGGGTCATCAATATGAGACAATATCTTGTCTCAGATAACTCTCCCTGTATTTTTTTTAACATTAATATTCGTAATGTTAGAAATATTTTTATATTGCCAAGTCCATAAAGGGAGAGGTGGAACTGCATAAAAACCTTCAGAGAGGAGACCAGTGGAGCTAGTATGTAACTAGGCTAGGCATGATTGCTGACTGGTGGTCAAGCATCTGCTTGGCAAGGGAGCAGTGGAAGGTGGCTCAGATCCCCCAAGACCCCAGTCACAGCTTAATCCGAGGCTGCACTTCTCTGGGAACTGAAGGGTAAAGGATAGGAAGCAGGCCCTGGCCAGAAGACCCTCAAGAGGGACAGGGCCCAAGAAACACGTGGAGAGCTATTCATTCACACACTCAATTCATTAAGTATACCCTAACTCTCCATGTGCTGGGCGGTGGGCCAGGTTGGGTCTACGGATGTGTAAGACCCTGTAGCTCCTCCCTCAAGGAGCTCAGAAACTGCCCTTTTAGGGGCGCAGTGCTACTAGAAACAAGAGATACAGAAAAGACACCTAGTTCTGTCTTAGGCTTAGGAAGCAGAGATCTTGGGATAGGGGAAGCTAGCCTGCAAAGTTTGGTTAAAGTTCTCAGAATAATGAACAGTATAAGCATATAAATAAGCAGCAAGGCAATGACAAGATATGGAACTGGCAATGCAGAAATGAGAGAAACCTAATGCTAAATTGAGCTCAGCATGGTGATACACACCTGTAATCTCAGCACTCAGGAGGCTGAGACAGGAGGATCACAGCAAGTTCAAGACCAGACTAGGCTACAAAATGAGTTTAAAGTTGGCCTGAACTACAGTGAACCCCTGTGTCAAAAAAGGGGAAAAAAAACAAAACACAAGAGCTCAAGGTTTTAATGTGGAGACAATAACATGTTTAAGGAGAGGAATGACAGCCAGATTACTGATCCGAATTACAATCCTAGGAGGGGGATGGATTGGTAACTCTGAAGGCAGAGAGATCACTTAGCATACTGGACCAAACTAGAAAGGTTGGCCCAGAACTAGCGGCTGTGGGAGAGATGGTGGAGATACAGCTGAAGGGTGAAGTGGTGGAGGCAAGAGAGTGTTTAGGAGTGAGCAGGCTCTAAAGAGGGCACTGGGAGGTCTGCGAGAGGAATGAGTTAAGATGAATCCCTGAGAAGATGCAGTCTTGGGACAGTGATAAACAGCTCTAGATGAACCCCCACTGACAACTGACAATCTCAATTTATCAGGTGTTTCCTCATGACTTCCAGGCTTAGTATTTTGCTTGAGAAGACTTTCTCTATCCCAGTGTTCTTTTTAAAAATCCTGTATTTTCTTCTAATACTTTGAGCTAAGTTTTATATGTAACTTCTTACTCTATTTGGAATTTGTATTTGTGTGAGATAAGAAACAAAAGTTCCAGTGTTCCCCAGTGGATAGCCAGTTGTCCTGTCTGCATTGACTGAACTGTCCACATGCCCATTCCCTTCTAAAATGACGCATCTGTCACATATGACTCCCACACATGGTTCTATTGGGACTAGGAAAGAGAAGGAAAATGCAATGATAGAGGGGTAAATCAAACAGGAAGGACAACAAGGTGGCAAGCTGCTGACCTTTCAGGCAAGAGGGAGTGTGGCTTAAGGAACAAGCAGACATCCTGAGGTCCCACCTAACAATCTCTGTAACACCATAGTACTGATCTCCAGGGATGGGGCCAAAATTCTTAGGCGAGAGACCAGCAAAGATGGGGGTGCAGAGCTGCGGAGCAAGGACAGAGAAGTACAAGGAGCAGGAACACAGTAAGAATGAAGGAGCAAAAACTCTGGAGTATTGTCAGTATTTTAGATCGTCATTTCATAAATACATCTGTCTGTCTACTCATCTGGAAATTCTGGTGGCAGTGATGCACTGAGCAAACTGCTACGGGTCAGCCCATACTTACACTAAAAACTTACTTGTTATTTATCTAAAAGTTTAACTGGTGTCTTAAATATTTAGCTGTTACATCTGTCAATTCTATGGTCGGGGCAGCATCCCAAGCTATAGTTGGCTGCAGTTCAAGGTGCAGCATCACACAGTAACTGAAGATCTGGGGCCAAGGCGGGAAATTTACAGCTGAAACAGCAGAGCCCCCTGTCGCCCCTCAGATTCTGAATGTGAATGCAAATTCTACCACGTAATTACTGTACGAACTTGAGCCAATTCTCGAACTTTATTTAACTTTTCTGTATTTTGATTGAAATGGGACTAATAATGACAATTACAGCAACTACTTCCCTCAAAGGACTGTTAAAAAAGATGAAATGAGTTTTTATTTGTGAAGTGCTTAAAAACAGCATCTGTGTTATCATTAATGCTATTATTCCAATAACAACCAATAATAATATTGTTATTCTAACAATAATATCCTTATATCCCTCATCACTCTGATCCCTTGTCCCAGACTTGGCTCAGTCCGGTTCACAGCCACCCTGGCCCACCAGACACATCTGCCAGACATACACTTTCTCTCCTCAGGCAAGGTTCCTGTGGCTTCCCACCTCTCCCCCAAACAGGGTCCTGAGAGTCTCGACTCCAAAGTGACCCTTTCTTTCTGCCCCTCCCTGAAGCCCCCTCCACCCCACAGAGGTGCTTGCAGTGCCACAGGGCTGATGGTGAAGGATGACGGTGGCTCCACAATAAGGGGAAAAGGCAATTTCATCTTGATTAGCAGGCGATTTCTCTCTCCGTAATAAGCGCGCTCCAAATAATTAGCGTGTTTTACGTAATAATGAAATTACAGAAATGCAGTCCACTTATTCAAACAACTCACCATTACCATATTTTTAAATATTAGACTTAATTAGAGTTTATCACTTCAGAGAAGTATGCGGACCGAAGATGTTTTTAAAAAAAATCCTCATAAAGTGTTTATTAAGCGCTGGTAAAGCTGGGATAATGATGTGTTTGGAAATTAAGGCAATCAAACACTTACCGCCGCTCCTGGAGGCCGGGCATGGAAATGAGGCCATTACACGCCCATTACCCGCCAGCTCACAGCCACTTGGGGGACAGGGGGAGGATGTGCCTGGCCGAGAGGGCATGGTGCCCGGGAAATGCCTGTGCCAACATCCCAGAGCTGCCTGGCCAGCAAACATCCAACTCCTGAAGTCACTCACACCGCATTTGGCTACCAGATGCCCAACTCGGTCTTGGCCAGGCCAAAGGCTAGACTGGTCCTAAATGGCAAAGACACTCAAGACTATCCCTTATCCAAATTCCCAGGCCTGGCAGGCTATGTCAGCTTCACTGAAACACTGATACAGATGGGGGGAAAGCCAAGTCAGGCAGCCAGGCAGGTCAATGAGAGGAAGCTGAGGGTCAATCCCCTTTCCTATTTCGGGCTACTTCAGAGGAAGCTGAAGACTCAAAGCAGATGAGCACTGCAAAGTTCATACAAGAAGGGATTGCTAGAGTGGCAGTATAAAGCTGAGGAGCTGAGCTTGGAGCCAAAGAGGCCAAAGAGGCAGGGGCCACACCTACGGCTAGAACCTGATCAAGGAAAGGAGGCAAGAAGGGTGACAGGGAGGAGGCTAGTGGCTCCGGGCCCCATTTATGCTGGTGAATAACTAATTCCAGAATTTATAGTGGTGGGTTTTTGTTCTGTGGCCATTTATATTTGCGAGGGGAGGAAATGAAGAGGCAGTGCGGACGCCACATCTTTCTGTGTTATTGCTTGTCTGCCATTTGCAAATCATTATTAATTGTGGGCCCTGGTGGCAGGCCGGGTGGGGGCCGGGCTGGGTACATCCACATAGCTCTTCATCAAGGACCCCAGCCGCTGCCCCAGAGAGCCAATTACCCCGCCCTGATTGGGATCAGATAAAGAGGGAATTTTTACAAATTAGGGAATAAATAGAATTTCCACACAGGGCGCGGGCAGGACCTGAGAGGCTATAATGAAAAACCATCCGTCACCATCAGTGCAGGCTGGGCATGCAGCCCCAGCACTCCCTCCCTTGTGGGCTGGCCCCAATGCTCAGGGGCCTAGGTGACAGGATCTGAGGACACCCAGCTCTTCTGAGGCCTACAAGTGAGAGGGGTCTTCAGAGGTGCGTTCACCCTTTGTGCTGGCGAGGACTAGGCCCCAGCTCAGGCTTTGGCCTGAGCACTGCCTCTGTTTCTCTGCCTGCCCCCTTTGGGGTCCTGGGCAGGAGAAGACCAAGCCAGTCCTGAGACAGACCAGCACTAGGGATCACAGGGAAGAACCCATCCCTGTTCCCACAGCCATGGCAGCCCCAGGGCAGAGCCCTGGCCCCCTGGACCACTTGCTCTGGGCTCCCATTAGCGCTCCTCCCCTTGGATCATTAAATATGTATATCTTATTACACGCCTTGTTAGAGTATCGAGCTCTATTGACTGATGATAAATCCTGAGCCTCGTCCTGGCCATAAATTTATCTGGAGATGATGAAGACTCAATAATCTAGTCAGGCAGATAATATCATCGGGCCTTAAAAAAGATCATTACATTATATGTCAGAATTAAAAGTGAAATACGCCGTAGTAACAGGGCGGTTGCTCTGGCCATTACAATGGATGCCTGCCTCCCCCAACTCATTTCTAGCCCATGCCCCATCCAGGTGTCAGGACAGGAAGCCTCACCTGCTCCCAGCTGTGGGAAGACACAGCTGAAGTAGTGGAGCAGTTTATGACTTGGCTGCGAGGTCCGAGGGCAAGAGGCAGCTACAAAAAACAGCTAGGCAGCCCCGCCATACCTGGTAGTCACATCTGTCCAACCAAGCCTTCACATGATTCTGGCCCTAAGGGGCTCTCCTGAGGCAGTCTTCTGGGTCCTTCAGTAGATCAAAGAGAAAGGTGTCAAAGCCTTCCGCCCTTCCAAAATGGCCTCAACGCCCAGATACCCAAATGGGGCACTGGGATACACAGTGACTGGGTTCCTCCCTGTGTTGCCTGAGATCCTCCAGTCCCAGGGCCTGTGACCTTGGGCCAGCTCATGGATCAGCAGCCTGTCAGGCGGCTTTCTTGTAAGCCTTTACGGCCAGTTCAACCCAAGACACTTCCTTTCTCAACCTCCACACTCCGGCCTGTTCGTTTTTTGACTTCAGCACGAAGACTCCTCTGTTGTCTTTTTTGACTACTGATTTCAATACTAATATCCTCGACATTTAAAACATCCCCTGCTCTTCTCTTAATACAGTACCTTCAAGTATCTCTAGGTTTTGTGTATGTATGTATCTATCTAGTCTTTGTCATACTGGGGAATGAAGCCAGGGTCTTCACAGTGAGCTAGCTACATCCCCAACCCTTTCTTTTACTTTGAAACATAATGAAATAAAATTGGCCAGGCTGCGTTCAAACCTGTGATCTTCCTGCCTCTGCCTCCCAGAGTGCTAGGATTCTTTTTTTTTTTTTTTGGTCTTTTTCCTTTTTATCAGTACCAGGGATCGAACTCACTGCCTTGCAAGGCAGGCGCTTATGCCACTGAGCTAAATCCCTAGCCCAGTGCTAGGATTCTTATGCATGTGCCTCCATGTCTGGCTGACTTGGACAGTTTTGTACTCTCACTCATTGGATCTTTGAAACCATTAACCCTCTCTCCACATGGTTCATGTCTCTGGTCTTCACTTTTTACTACAGATTTTTATGCCACACTGGGCAGACCCACTACTCCCTCCTGCACCCAGGTTATACTCCTCACTCCGAGCCTTTTCGGTGACCCTGTCCCAGTTGCCACATGGCAGTAAATACACTGAAAGGCCATCATCGAAATGTTCTTCACTCTTATGAAAAGAAGCACAAGAAGGAAATTGGCTTTAACATTCTACTGGATGTTTCTCCACACGTGTGCATAGTATAGGGGACAGCAGAAGTCACTTCCAGCCTGGAGGGGAGTTAGCCTGTGACGACCACGCTGAAGATAAGAGAGCAGAAAAGTGGGAGAAAGGCAGGATCCTTGAGGATATGGCTGGGATCAACCAGCCCTAGAATCGCCTTGCCTCTAAATTTCTTCTGTGAGTTAACAGCTTCCCTTGTTAGTAAAGGTATTTTAAACTGGATAACCTATGGGCTGCCTTTTTCTCAGAGCTGAAAAGACATTTAGCTGATACAGAATGTGCAGGTGGGAAGATGACTGGCACAGGACTGGAATCTACAGTGTAGAAATGGCTGAACGGAAGCGGCAGGAGATGGCAGGGCGAAGGGCAGAGAGAATCTGCTACTTCAGGGTGGGAAGCTGGTAACCCTTACTACTCTCCACTGAAACATCTGAGCAAACTGTTGCTCACTGTGTCTCAGGATACAGGCCATGAACAGTCAACTTTAAACTGAGACCTACAAGAAAACCAGAGCAGCACAAAAATAAAAGTTTACTGAGAAAGGTGTCTGTGGCTGCCATTACTGGGTGACTGGAAGTCCCATCAGACTCAGGTTTCTTCCTTGTTTTTGTTCCCTCTTTCATTATCAGCTTGTAGCTTCTAATTCTCAGGTTACTTCATGCACAATATGGCAGCTGGAGCTCCAACTATCATATCCACATTCTAAGAAAAAGGAAGGGAAAAGACAGGAAAGGCAATAACACTGCATTTCTTTGATGAGCTGCTTCCCTTTAGGCATCATTCCTGGAGGTTCCTTCCACACACTGCACTGCTTCTTATCTCACTGACAGAGCCTATAGACATGGAGGTATCAAGCTGAACGAGAAACTAACACAGCAGTCTTTGGACTGGGTGCATAGTGATTCTCCTAGTCACAGAGGGCTCTTTTCAGTGAGGAAGAAGGGCAAACGAGCCCTGGGTATCTATCAACTAGTTCCCATTCTTGAAACATAAAGACCACACCTCACTTTAGAGCCTGGATTTCATGGTCTATCATCTCGTATTTTTTCTTGCCAATATCAACTCCCTTCTTCCCTTTTCCTTTGGTCACCCTCACCTTACCTTCCCTAGTCTGTGACCAAAGAAAACCACAGCACACAGACCAGTATCACAAGGTCAGTGTTCCCAGGCACGCACCACGTTTCTCCAGTCCCCGAAGCTCCAACCTCCACCCTGCTGGCATCCCAGTCTCCTTGCCATGCGGAGGCCACTGTCCTGCATCTGCACTGGCCTCTCCTGACACTCTGTCATAACAGGCAGCCAATGTTGCTGTCACTTCAGAAGACCGTCATCCATGTCGCTGGCTTCCAAAGCACATACCAGCAGCCGGGCTTCTCAGGGCCTGAAGCTACTGCACACCCTTACTCTCCATGCAGCTTAGAGTGCCCTTTGGCACTGCTTCCTGCAGCTGCCTGAGTCACTCCCCACTAGGGCACAATGTTTCCTATCTTCCCCTTTCCTTTGGTTAGCACCCTCTTTCTCAGCCGACCTCAGGCTACCTTGCCATCTGCCTTTCCAAAGGCCCCTCTCTCCTTAAGATTTTACAGCCAGTGGGAGTGTGACCACCATGCTGACTGCTCACCACGGGCAGCTCTCATTCCTTGGCCGCACTGATGTGACGCTCTTCCCGTCCTGTTCCTTGGTTCCTGGGCACATGTCTCTTCCCACTGCTTTGGAGCAGTCACTGGCCCCCTCTCCACGGGCAACCTTATTCACCCCTGAGCTTTAGTTATCATACATTTCCCAAATCTTTAAACCTGGATTCCTGCCACCACCACCATGGCCTGGGTCCCATTTCTCAACAAGGTGACACCAGGGCTCCTGCTATTCTCTTCACAAGGCTTTCAAACCATGCATCTGGTCCTTCTAGTCCCTGTCTTAAAACCCTTTAGTGATCACACAGCAGAAAAAGGACACTAATGAAAACCCTGGTAAAATTAAAACAAGGCTTCAATGTGGTTTACAGCACTGAGGGTAGCTTCCAGGCGCTGACGATTAAACTGTGATCATGCAAGATGTTAACATCAGAGAAAACGGGATACGATATAAAGAAATTTCCCTGTAAATATAAAACTAGTTAAAGTAAAAAGTTTAAGAACAACTGTCCCCACCTAACTGCTCCCACTGCTCCCAGGACAGCACCCCTGTGTCGCAAGGCCCGAGAGATCCAGCCCTCTTACGGCGGCCTCATCTCCCCTACTTGCATGTCACGCAGCCGAGTCCAGGCTCTTCTGCCTCTGACCCTCACACATGCCCCTTTCAGCTCCTCCCCCTGGGCCCGGGCTGGCTTCTGCTGCCTTGGAGCGCCTCCCCTGCCCCACACTGTGTGTGTGGCCTTCTTCACATGCCCACAGCATCCATGTGCTCTACGGTGAATTTCCCTCTGGTACCCCGGCTAGACCACAGCTGCCTTAAAGGGTTACTGACACACGGACCCCCAAGAGATGTGTATGAGTGGAAGGAAGAAAAGCAGAGAAGCAAAGAAGGAGAGGGGAGGCCAGATAGGCCAGATCACAGGCAAATCTACTCCTGCGCTGACACTTGCCACCCAAGGCCTCTATATACCCAGCTCTGAAAATCAATCCCTATCCTCGGTCACCAGCTTCCAAAGCACCAGAGGCTTCGACTCTTTCCCACCTCCATTCCCTCACAGCATCTTGGTTTTCTTAAAACTTCTCATTTCTGGAGACAGCCTGGGACCTGAGCTCTTACTGGTCCAGCCAGCCTGTTCTTCGAGGGCTCCCCAGTCTCAGCCACTGATGCTTCGAAAAGGGCTGAACTATGCCTAGGGACTCTAGGAAGGGGGGCCTTCCTCCCTAAGCCCAGTCCCACCTGGTAAATATTTCATCCTCAAGCTGCTCAGCTAATCCCTATTAATTTCAATACCGCTGCCTTGCCTGGCTCAGCTCCCAATGCATTATTTATCCCCTTTGTTTGTTTGTGGCTAACAGGTGGGCCCCAGCGGAGGCGCTGACTGGGGACAAGCCCACTCCATCACAGTGTGGCTGTGAATTAATCATGAGGACTAATGGGAAGTGCCTCAGCTCCAGGCACTTCCCTAGCCACCTCCCTTGGCCTTGGCACCCAGGGGTGGGCCGGGGCCATCTCAACTCAATTTACCTCAATTCAGACCTGCACATTTTATTTATTATCTGCCTACACTTGTCAGACACTGTGCTATGTTTTGGAAATACAAGCTGAACAAACAGGCATATGTTCTTGCCCTCAGGGAACTTACAGTCTAATGGGGAGAGAGGTATTAAACAGCTAGCAAGCAAGTAATTTCTTAATTACAACTGCGACCCAATGCTGTAAAGGAGCAGGGCAGAGTGCTGTGAAAAGGCACCCGGAAGAGAATAAGATTTAGCCAAGTCTAGGCATCAAGGCTTCCCGGAGGAAGCAAGTTCTGAGCTGAGCTCTGGGATGAGCAGGCATTGAGCAAAGCAAAAACTTGGAACACAGAGCTCAGAGTGGGGGAAAAGCTTCAGGGAAGGGCCCTGAGGCAGGAGGCAGCAGTGCTGGTTCCAGGAGGTGAGGGAAGAGCCTGAATTGTAGGGAACTAGAGAGCAGTTTGAAGAGAAGAGGTCTGAGCCCAGGCAGACAGACTCTGCCCAAAGCTCACCTCAAGGCCCTTACATCCTAATAACTGCCTTGATCCTGATGTCATCACAAGGTCATCCTGAACACAGTTATAAACACTCATACCATTTTGGCTGACTTGAACAACTTTTGATTTCTTGACCTTGAACTTCTGGTCTTCGGGGAGGGAGTCCCTGGTGTTAGGCCCACCATCTTCAATAGTGGGTCTTACTTGCTCCTTCTTGAGCACCCTTAAAAGGTTCAAGGTTGTTAACTAGTCAACCATCAACCATCCATCATCTACATCAGGGAGCTCTGGTGAACACATATCTAGGGCTTGTGGAGAGGCCTGTTTGGGCTTCTCAGCACTCATGAAGGCT